TGACAACCACTAAATAATAAACAAGACAATAAGACAACAATAAAAGAATACCAGAATTTACGACATTCGGCCAATTTTGCCTACTTCCTCGGACACAATTAATATTTTATTCCACTCCAAAATTACAAGTGAAATAATACTAAAGAGAGAAGATACAAATGCCTTAAGAAGATAAAAAAGGCAAATGAGAGGTGTACTTAAATCCTAAACATTAGGCCTCCTTTTATAGGGTGAAATTCCCATTCAAAATTGTCATCCACCGATGTGGGACTTTTGACAATTTCAACACTTTTTGCCTTTACTTCTATATTTTTTTGTAATGCTGAGATAAAAAGAAGGAAATAAGGGACAGTCTGGTGCGCGAAACATTCCGCTTTTCATTGCTGTGCTTACACACAAGGCTACTCTTTCACGCAGGGTCTGGAGAAAGGTCGTATCCCAAGGGTGTGTGACGTAGGCAGCCTACCCTGATACAAGCATCAGCGGTTGATTCTACGGCTTGAAATGAAAAGAAGGAAATAAACAGAACAAAGAGAAGAAAAATGAAGTACTAATTAGGCCCAGGACTAAACGTTTACTTACATATGGAACAACCCTTGAGAGTCCAGTGTTGGATGCATGTTAGACCTGACTACTGAGTCATGCAACCTGGATGAAATGGTCACACGCTCTCCATTATACAACAACCAGACTAATATTTATTTGGGACACCAGTAGAAGAAATGTTACCATGTAACTTGGAAAATTCAGAAGGTAAAAGTAAAGAAAATTGGAGGAAATGGCAAGAGAGAAATCTGTAATGTGTATGGTGATGGTTTTGGGGGTTGCCATAATAATTCAGGGCACTGGAGCTGCTGAAGAATGTAGCACAGTGACAGCACTGGTAGCAGCATGCTCCAGCTTTGTGAACTATGGCACACCAGATCCAACTCCAGGTGCACCATGCTGCGTCGCTATGACGACCCTAAGCAACATAGCTAGCTCCACCGAGATGCGCCAGGCCGTCTGTAGATGCGTGATGGACCTTATTACTACTTACAACCCAAATGCTACTGCCATTGCCACTCTGCCTGGTTTCTGTGGTGTTTCTCTTGGTTTCACCATTGACCCTAACACTGACTGTGAATAGTAAGTAAGACAACCATAAGTTTCTTATCACCTAATATTTCATACTTTGTTTGTTGGTTTAGCCATCCGATATTCAAGGTCCACTGGTCCTATTAATCGTGATTTGCTCTGGTTAAAGAAGTTCTCTACTCCCGGGGTGAAAACCCGAAAACTTTGTCTTAAGAGGTGGAGGTATTCTAACCATCCACCACACACCTTGGTGGTTAATATTTCATAGTTTTATCACAATGTCTGATCAATCTTTTCTTTTCTCTTTGCAGTGTCTCATAACAATATGGTCTCTGGAAAGTGATGCTGAAGAATGAATTACACTTACCTTCACTCTAATCAAGAAGAGCAACCTTACTATATATAACAGTTTGTATTTTGTTTTTAATGTACTGAAAATGTTGTTCTTTTCTTTTTTTTCCATGGAGGAGATAGTAGCACGTAACACATACTATTAAAGGACTTTACCTTTGCTTTCTCATTGTTGCTACCTAGAAATGAACCTTCACACGAGCTGAGTTAAAGCACCTATCATGTCTTCCTCCCCCTATTGTATTACAAGGGAAACTAAACAAAGATTAGTTCACTTTCTTTGCGGAGTAGTATGATGTGAATAAATAAATAATATGTAGATTGCTCAACATTGACTCACAGTAGGCTATGCAATGCATTATAGAGAAGAAATTCTACAAAAACTAAAAAATAGAAAAAGGAGAAAACCTTACATGAAACTGAAAACAAAAGAAAGAAAAATGACAAAAATTAGTAATCTACTTGCTCTTTAGAATAAAAATTTGTCTCGTCTCTTACCCACGGAGAAAGTAAAAAGGCAGCAACCCACTAGTTTAACTTTTTCGCTACTCCTTACTTACCTCGATCAAAGTATCCATGGGTTCCATTTTGTTTGTTAGCACGTCACCATCTTGGGTAAATCCACAAGAAAACATAAGAGAAAAGTAAAAAGTGCAGCTGTATAACTTTGGGATCAGCTTCATGTGGGGCTGCTGGGTTCCAAAGGAGTGCCTTTTTTAGCCAATACCCATTCAAGAGCATGTGAAAGACTAGTATTTTTGGCATTTTATTCTTCAATTGAGGCGCAAACAGGAGGGAGTATTTTGAGTAATGGTAAAATTTTCTCTGTATGATCTATAAATCACAGGTTCAAATTATGAAAATAGTCACTAATATTTATATTATGATACGATTTTTCCTGGATCCTACATAAATGCGGGATCTTTGCTAGGGGTGTTCAAAACCAAACCGAAATCGAAAACCGAACCGAAACCGAAGCTTAATGGCTTATTGG